ACAACTGCTCCAGATTGACAAGATTTGGCGCGATTTCTGCTAAAAGAGAATCGTTTATCAAAGGGGATGACTGCGCAGGGATGTAGAGTATAAGAAATTCTGAATGTATGGCAAAATGATAAGTTCGATTTACGTACTTTGCAGATCAATGATAGATGTCTCAATGTACTTCCAGTAATTTGCATCCATCGAGGCATAATCGTAACAACTGGGGAACTTGGCATAATCAACGATATCTTCTGAAGATGGTTGAACTTGATTAATTCAATTGCTCTGTATTGACCCTGATTGTGTCCGTTCATTTCAAGTTCTGATAACAAAGGAAGTTGTTGAAGAGCTTCGAGAATATCTTCTGACAAAGAACCATCCCGAGTCCATGTGCAAATGCGGAGATTCATGCAGTTCCGGATTCCGCGTAGACAAACCTGTAAAAGCTCATCCCTCTGACCACGAAGTAGAGCACGAGGGAAATCTCGTATAGCTAGCAAAAAGATAGGAAGATTAGATCCTCTGGGTTGAAGATATTGTTTCAGAAAGTATGTATACCAACATAGTTCTTGCACAAATTTAGCCAAACGGGGAGCCCTGTCGAGCGTTTCAAGCAGTTTGACAACCTACAGTCAGAAGAAAGATTCAATCAGAGTTCTCAATCCACTGAAGTCAACATGTCACTACCTTGCTTTTAGAATTTTTATGCCATGAATAGATGAAAATCTTTTGATAAAGCAGCTCGATCGCAAAAGTATAGCATGTTTTGTTGACTGTACAAATCTTCGCTAGATGACCAGGCTTTGTGAGATGCTGAAAAACAAGTGGTAAAAGCTCGATTGGAAGATCTTCGAAGACACCCATGAATTGACAGGTCAAAGTTGCAGTCGAAAGAGATAGCTTACATATTGCGATCGGTCTGACGTGACAATGAAAACTTGAGAACGAATAACACTGGCGCTTACCCTCAAAAGCGGTCCGGGCATGTGTCTAAAACGTTGAAAACTACAACAACAACAAAAACATCAGCAAAAGATGCAGTGCTATGTAAGGCGCTTACAAGCGAGGAAAAGGCCGAAAAGCTCGTACAAGGACCACAATACTTGTACAAGCTTTTACGGCCGTATTCTCTGCTGCCTCTTACAAGGACCACAAGGCTTATGGTCCTTGTAAGGAGTATAAGACTGTGTGCCTGAATTAGCGAGAACTCTGTAGTTACATTAATAGATTGGCTTCTCATTCGAATATTCTCTTTCTCTTGATTAGAACTCTGTCATTGTAAACATAAATAGACCAGCTTTAGATTCGAATATTCCAAATATTCTTCAAAACAAATTCAAACATGCATATCCAACAAAATGTATTAAAAAATGGGTTTATATTCAATTTAATTAACTAACAGTTAGAAACTACTCTGAAGATACTCGGTACTCGCAAGACAGACTCTGATGAAACTCCATGCCATCATGAAAGGTTGATTAGCGGGCAATGGGATGGGGTGCGGGGAGCAGTCGAGGGTAAAGTTGTACATGATGCACAACATAGTGGGCACGTACCGCAGCGATGAAGCTGACAAATATTTGGGACTACTGTATGAACGGAGTAAAGTTAGATTCAAAATCAAAGAAGGAATTTAAAAAAACTTGCCATGACGATGTACTCACAACAGCAGAGCAAGGAGGAAGTGCGAGAAAATGGAAAGCAGAGAAGTCCAAGTGAAGAGAGCATTGGAGTTGGAAGGGATTTTATATTGGACACCACCCCCAACGAAACATCGAACTCAGAGTCGGTGACTGACATCGACCAATGTTCATCCAAATTCATGTGATTTCAACTTCGAGTGGTGAAGGATTTCTTCTTTTTTACTTCACGTTATGACATCCTGTATACGTACCGGTCCTCTGGTTCATGCATCTAATTTATTAGTGAGTCGTCTGTCAAACCGACATGTTTTCTCTTTCAAACAATCTAGAAAGTCTCACGTACCTCAGCCCCTTCCATCCCAAACAGTCAAGATCGGGCACAAGCAATTGAGTCTCTAAGGCCCTACTTTTGGGAGCCAGTCCATAAAGCCATATAACATAATTACTGTGTCCAGACGAGCATATATGTTGGAATCTTGCTGATGGCCAATGCCGCGAGCTTTTCTCGGGCAGATTGAAAGGAGTGCTGTGTTCCTTAGGGAGATTTGCATGTTGTTCGCGGTAGAAAGAAAAGAGTTCGACAAATTGATCTGTCGAACTCTGCGGTGTATCAACGGTCAAAAACAAGTTTGAGTAAACGACGAATCAAGCATCGGTAGATCCCAGTCTCACGTGCACAGTTCCAAAAACAGAAAATCAGATTACATAATGCATAATCGTTGAATAATGTACACAACTGACATCGGATTTTGGACATTGTAATGGTCTACATGGCTTGTGTATGCGTATAAACCTCTGCACGCCTTGTGGAGGCTTACACACCCCCGCGAGGCTTGTGGGTGCCTTGTACGCGCATACCAGCACCCAAAATATCTTACAAGGGACTGCAAGGCTGACAGCGCCTTGTAAGCTTCAAAAGCGCTTACGAGGCGTTGCATCTTTTGCTGATGAAAGAGAAAGCATAAAGATCTTCATAATTGCGAGGGCGGATTTTCTCTCTCTCTCTTTATTTATCATCTTCTTCTTGGCGGAACCGCCCTTTGCAATGAGAAGGTTCTCAACAGTGACTCGATTTAAATAAATCAGTGTTTTGGTGATTATTACTCTTCCAACGAATTCAATATTCAAGACTTGGAACCGTCACCTTCGGGCTTGGCAAGTTGGGCCACCGCCATCCAAAAGAAAGGTAGATTGTTATATCGTACTCGGTACCAACGAAGGAAACCCGGTGTCTTAATCTTTATTCAGTTGAAGAAGCCTTGACTACTGGAATGGAGTTGCAGGCTTCCAGCTTCGCAATCATCCAAATCGAGCCTTCGCCACCCATATACACTTTCGCAACCTACGATGACAGAAACACGTAGAAACAATATGCAATATGGTAAGTTCTTCTGAAGTTTTTAGCAATGCTGTTGACGTATTTAAACTGACATGATTTCTAGTTAAGCTCGGGAACTCTAGTCTGAAAATATCCAGAATCATACTAGGCACTATGCAATACGGTGATAAAGGTTGGCAAGAATGGCTTATTGATGACGAGGAAGAGACTATGAAGCATATCAAGTTTGCGTAAGTATGGTTTCTGAAGGTGTGTACCTATCTCGATTCATGGTACTTTCTCGTTGCTCTGGATCAGTTATGATCATGGGATCCAAACATTTGATACTGCAAATGTAAGCCTACTATCTGCTCGACGCATCGCATATGGTTTATTTAACATTCATAGTCATACTCCAACGGAAGAACCGAGGTCATGGTCGGTAACGCAATCAAAAAGCTCGGACTGCCGCGAGAGGAGTTGGTCATTATGACAAAGGTTAGTGGAAGCGGAAAATACGTGAATGAATGGAACGATGAGTGTCGACTCAATGTATACTGAATATAACGAATTTAGGTCTGCCTACCTCGAATGAGGAACTCAAGCTTTCATGTTCGAGCCTGGGGGAAGGATCCTGATGATATCGGGCTAGTAAACCAGCACGGGTTGAGTAGGAAGGTGGGTTTTACTCACACACAGTGTTCAAGGAATCCGGAGATTGCGTGTACATCATGCCCTAAACTGAAAGCCGATAATACAGCACATTTTCGATTCAGTTCAACAAAGTCTGGAACGTCTCCAAGTTGACTACGTCGATCTACTTCAATGTACGCAGACCTTACGACTTTAAATGTAGATTTGATACTGACATTCCTGACATTTGCTAGGTCACCGATTTGACTATGATACACCAATAGAAGAGACTGTGGGTAGATGATCGATCACTGAAAATATTATCTTTTTTTTGAGCTGACCTTAATGTCATTTCTTCAGATGCAAGCCTTGCACGATGTCGTCCAAGCTGGCTGGGTTAGATACATCGGAATGAGCTCTTGTTTCGCATATCAGTGTAAGTTTTTTTGGATCAGAAATCCCTTGAATCTACCGAGTCGAGTCATGTCACGAGTTATATTCTCCGAGAACAGTCCACTCCATGCAAAGTGAGCACGATAAATCCCGTCCAATACCATCGTAAGCTCATTGACCTTGCACTTGCACTTCTACAGACTACGCAATCAACAACAATGTTACCCCTTTCGTTTCAATGCAAAATCACAACAACCTTCTTTACCGCGAAGATGAACGAGAACTATACCCAACATTAAAGGTTCATCATGTCCTCTGATTAGCTTTCAACGAAACTGAGACGATTCAATAGATGTTCGGAGTCGCATCCATTCCATGGTCACCGCTTGCTCGTGGTCTGCTTTCTCGACCGTTCAGAGAGCAATCTCATCGAGGGGAAACAGATTGGTACGTATTCGCCTTAAAAGTTGTTGTCCATATGACAAGTACATATATACCATAGGTTCATCAAGAACTATCAAGGTGGCGGCACGGAAGAAATTATCAAAAGGTAACAGAGCTACACAAGTGTCCACACTGGATTACATACTCATGTATACCATGAGTAGAGTTGAAGAAATCGCGAATAGACGTGGTGTCACCATGGCGCAAATATCGATCGCTTGGAATCTATCTAAAGACGGTGTCACAGCACCTGTTGTTGGAACTACGAGCTTGAAAAACTTGAAAGATATCATCGGTGGGCACTTCATCTTATTTTTTTCGGGAAAGGTAGATAACTATAAGGTGGTCTATGAATTTTCTTCTAGACGCTGTTGAATTGAAGCTTTCTGAAGAGGAGATCAAGCATTTGGAAGAACCGTATCAGCCAAGAAAACCACTAGGACATAAATGATATACCTACAAAATATGGGGGAAGTGTAGCAGTGGTCCTGTTCTCTAGCACCATGGCTCTCCGAGTCTTCTATGTGATATTGATGCTTTCAATTTGACAATCTATTGCGTTAACTTAATCCCCTAACATGTGCCCCTTGGCTGAGTTGGTTACAGCGTCCGACTGTTATTCCCAGCAATCGGAAGGTCATGAGTTCGAGCCTCATAGGGGCAGCACTTTTTTACATCGGTGTCGTTGTGAGAATGTGCAACAACTGAACCTTTTTTTTTCTTTTTTTTTTGTCTCAAGACTTCGTCGAATCAAGTGCGCTGAAGGATTGGTATCAAAGCCATAAAGTACGATTAACTTACGATACACGTGAATCTAGTCTAAAAGTCCGGGACAAAATAATTGCGTGGTCTCTGGCCTCATCTTGACCGCTTTGATTAGAGAAATCCTACCGAGCTGTCGACGTAAAGGGCTCCTCCAATGCTTCCATCTTCTTACACCATGCGACAACTTTGGGGTGTGCCATAACCTGAATAGATCGACCGTGGAATCAGCCAAAATCTCAAACGGAGTGTCGTACAATCATACTTTCTTAGGGTCGAATCTAAGAACTTGAAGACCATCCAACGATGCAGCCCGAGAAAGTGCGACGTAGCTTTGGCCTAATATACAACACACGAAGGATGAGAATAAAGGAGCACAGAGACATGGGTCATCCACAAACCTTTTTCGAAGACTTTTCCCAGGTCAATCTTTACTCTTTGGATTGTCTGGCCTTGACTCTTGTGGATTGACATAGCCCAAGCTAAAACTAGAGGTATCTACATAAAATGGATCCGTTAGGTGCTTTGAGTTTATGGCAAGGAGAGAAGTTAGAATAATCACCTGTACTCGTCGAGCAAGTAACTTGCCTTCGTTATCTTCGACTCGAAATTCGTCCCGTACAAGTAATACAACTTCTTTTCCTTGTGGAGTAAAGAATTCCACGAGAGGATACAATTCTTCTTCCTTGGCTTTACCTTTAGCTACTGAGCCATTAGGTTTATTCTCCTTCTCGGGGCTCATCATCGCGTCGTATCCAATTGGAGTCCGTCCATCTTCACCCATTTGAACGTTTCTTACTACGGTAATGGCTTTGCTTCCACTGGTAGATTCTTGCGACGATGACTTCGGTTTAACTTCTTTCTTCACAGAGGGACCAGCAGGGGTGGATGGCGCAGTGGAAGAAGAAGGTGAAGATGACGACCCTGTTGCCGAAGAGGACCCAATAACACTAGCCATAGCCACAGGTACAGTATAGAAACCCAGAATTCTTCCGACGCTTCCATTGACAAGGCTTTCGTCGACGTTCTTGATTAGCATCACTTGTGCGTCCTTCTTGAGTTCCAACTTCCCCGGAACAACCATGTTATCGAGGAGTTTTGTACGTCTCTCAGCTGTAGCACTTCCTGAATCGCGGGCTTCATAGGAGACAATTGTTCCTGGAAGTGAGACGAGACGAGCGGCATTCGAACGTTCGACTTCAGTTCGAAGTGGGAACAACTCTGTCGGTAAAATACCATCTTCAAAAGTCAGAGGTCTTGATAATCCGCGAAAGACATCCTTTGCGGCTTGAGATATATTTCCTTGACGCATTTCATTGAGAAGGTCCACAAATTCTTTTCATCCAATCATGCTTATGTTTAGTGACAATGGAACGACAGAAAGCAAGAAACACGAATAGTTATGCTCACCGCTGTCCTTTTGACGAAATACTTGCTTCAAGGTTACTACATGCTCAATGCATCGATTCCACGCGTCGCTTTCGAACGCAAAGTATGGTTCACCGTTCTTCGTGACTGGTGGTAGTTGGAAAAAGTCACCTGTTACAACTAACTGAATGCATGCTATTAGCAAACAAGAAAAGTACAAGGTATTAATTTAGATTACTTACCTGAATGCCACCAAATGGTCTGTCGGTCTTCTTTCTGAGTTTGTCTGCCAGGGTTGCAAGGACGTCGAAGAGATGGCCATCGACCATAGATACTGTCCAAAGATTGATTGACTGCAAGAATATGGTGCCAGATCAATAAATATACCTTCGTCAATGATGAGAACCTTGGTGGCCTTCCATCTCTGGTGGGCAGGTCTACAGGTTTTGATATAGCTTATAAGTTTCTCAACGTTGGTCATTCCGGGAGTGATAGCTCCCCATGAATGAATGGTCATCCCTGATGATGAATATATTAACTGAGAGTGATCTCAAAAACGTTGCATTTTACCATACCTCCGATGTTCGAAGCGGCCATCCCAGTGGATGCCGTCACTGAGATGCAATCTATCTTCTTGGCATACTTCTTACGCAACGCGGCGATAATCGCTCTAAGTAGCAGAGACTTCCCAGTACCTAGTATGATATAAAATAAAAGATTGAATGTGGTCATTGTTGCCACTAACTTGAGGAGAAGCTCACCAGCAGAACCAGTAAAGAAAATGTTCTTCCCCTCTTCAACAACCATCTTCATGATCTTGATCTGTTCTTCATTCAATGCTACATGTTCCCTTGTCGTCGCCTTTTCATCTTTCGGACATCCCGACGCGAGAACTTGAGGTGCAAAGAACGAATCGAGGGTTTTGCGTGGTTGTTTCGCCGGTTTCGGTTTCTGGTCGTCGATTCCACCGGTTGATTTTCGTTTACGTGGGTTTGTCGTTGTGGTCGTAAGTGTCTTCTCTCGCGCCATTGTGGATGTTCGACTTGGTCGTGGCGAGAACCGAGGAAGTAGAAGACAAAATCGTTACGTTAGAAGAGGGGTTGTCGCGACAGGTTGGTTTCCCACAGAGTTCAACGCGTCTCATCACGTGCTGGTGATTCCGTCTACCGCAAAGTACCGAGACAGATGTGATCAAGCGACTTTGTGCATGGCCAGAATCTGGGTGTCTTGCAGACATAATTACAAAGCTGTCTCGTATCGAAAGCTTGGATGCATTTCTATGTTTTTCTACAACGTGGAGGGAGCATGGATGACTGTTCGTGGCTGCATGTTCTGGATTTAATAGCCTTGAGTCCGGCGTTAAAGTACTTAAACGGACTTCCCAAGCCACCTTCGACTAGATTGACCTTCTCTGCTACTTACAACCAGATTACGAGCTCACCGTCCATAACCTTCACATACTGCTATTTCTCATGTCGACCAAGGGTGGAAGTAGCTACAACAACAGTCAATATGTACAGGCACCGAAGTGCGAATTCAATGATTCTGAGGATTTGGAGGAAACTGACAGTGCCGGAATTTACACTTTTGATAGATACCTGAATGACTTCAGTAAAGCTCTCGCGAGTGAAGTCAGAATCTTACTCGATGAAGTAGGGAAGTTGAGAGATGAGAGGAGACAGTTACAATAGTAAGTACCGATTGAGTTATAGTATCTTGGTTTTGCTTATATCAATGGTTCATCGTATTCGTTAGTGAGATCGCCGAGCTCATGGCTGTAAAGTCAAAGCATGGCGCAGGGGGAGAATATACTCCAGATTGGATGCCAAAGGCAAGCCAAAATTTTTGACAGCTTTGAAGTCTAAAAGATCGACTTTGATAACTCGAATGGATACAGAGAGAACCGACGCCACCACCTGCATCTCCTCCTCCTCCACCACCTGCCATTGAAGATGTTCAGCCAGCAAGACCTGCGTGGCGTACTGTTCATAAAAGACCTGAACGGAAACACAAACCTAAAGCTCTACCTGCTCCTTCACCCGCTCAACCTCCAGCTGCAATTCCTCCTCCTCCTCCTCCACAATCGAATTTGCCTGCATGGGCTCAATGGAGACGTCCGTATCAACCCCTCTTGTGAGATTCTCTACAGAATACTGACCTTTCATCATGCCATCGATAGCAAATCCGTTATTAGCAGCACCTCAACCTCAAGCTGGTGCACCTCTTTCATCTCCAGCCCCTCCTCGGCAAGGCCTGTTTGGTGAGTTTCTTTAGGACAGCATAATCGCATTACAATAACGCTCATATGTTATATTAGGTCCTCCTACACCACCCCCACAATAGACTCTCGAAATCCTCAAACTGAAATGACATCTTTGTATAGTACACCATCCCGGGCCAATCATGCATGTTTCACTCTATCATCTCTTTCTTGTAGCTCTCGTATTCTGCTTTTTCTGAGTACATAGCTTTTTTTTATTCACATCTATACCATACATCTATACCTTTCTGTTATTCGAGTTTAGACCTTGCTTCTTGCTCTTCCATTCTACGGCGATGATGATTACATCGTCTTGCTTTCCGATTTGCTTTCCGCCATACTTGCAATGAAACCTCTGCTTTCTTGTAAATAGGCACCTACAATAATTTCAATGAAGTATCCATTATCATTTGTATCGTCTTCAAAACAATGTATCTTTTTCCAAGTGTGCTGGTCGTCGATCGGGCTCGATGTTGTCGACATTACTGTCATATAGACGGGCACGCTGTTCAACGATAGCTAAATGATAAATCCAAGAAGTCCGCAAATTCTTCAAATTCTTCCTATAGCTAATTACTGACTATATGCGACTGCTAAAAACCAAAATATATCCTACAAGAACGACATTCCCCGTGAATAAATTAGATAGTTGTTGAGTTACGATGAGAGATTCGAAGGGGGAGAAAAAATGCATGTGAGTGATATCGTCGAGTGGTATTGTGAAGGGAAAGAAAAGAAAATGATGAAAAAATAGAAAGAAAGAGGGAGCAAAATCGGAAAGCAGCTGAGCATAGCGAAAGAGAACAACGATATATACACCACGTGAAACAAAAAAGTGGGAAAGAAAATCTAGAATTTTGAAAGCAGAAAGCAAAATTTTAGAAAAGGGGAGATGGAAATCCAGAGTCGGGTTAGTGTTTGAACTTGACGATGCAAAAAAAGACGATATGCAAGGAAGAGACGATGGGGACACACAAGTACAACAAGGAAGATGGATTGCGAGAGTTGCTTTGCTTGAAAGTTGTTGAGAAATCGAAATGTGTAAAGTCCGTGGGTTTGCGATTATTAGTATTATGTAAAACGAGTGTCGAGTTATAAAGTGAGTGAGTTGTTAGTGGTATTCCAGAAGTGATAAGGTATGCAAAGGATATTGATTCAAATAGAGAAGAGATTAATGCATGTCCCGGATATCGATCTTGACGAAGAGAGTGGAGAAAAGGTACTGCGACAATTGGGCGTCATGAAGAGGAAGATGTCGATAGCCTAATGAATAC